GGCAGTTTGCGATTGAGGAGTTGCCTCATATGATTGGATCATTGAAAGCAGTCCTTCTATACTGCCTTTTGCTCCATAGTATTGCTCTTTCCAGTGAGTTGTTAGAACTCCCCCAAGATTGGAATTTCAGTTGTTATGTCAGGAGGAGTTAGTCTGTTGTGTAGTCTGCAGAACATGTTACATAGGTGGCTGCTTTCTCCATTAATGAAAAAAAAATTATCTTGTTTAAAATAGGTGGATAATTTAGCATATATAAGCATATAAGCGGGGCCCCCCAAAAATCAAATGATCTTTTGAAAGGTGGTTCCTTGTAATACAGGCTTCCCTCACTAGGTAAGTGTTCTAGGAACCCATTGGCATCAGTATACCAGCTAATATTGGTGTGAGAGGCTGCATTTGGCTTCAGTGAATTATTTTTGGAGATCCTTTAAATATGTTTGCCCATTTCATTATGGGTAATTTACGAGTGTACCTGCCCACACCTTGCCGAGTGTTAAGCAGTTTTTGACCAAAAATGGCACAGCTTTCATGTTCCACCCTCCCTATTCACCTAGTCTTGCCTTGGATGCCTTTTTTTTTCGTTTCCCCTGATGAAAAACGTCCTCAAAAAGAAATGTTTTGCCAACGTGGAAGAGGTAAAGTAAAAAGCTGCAGAAGCACTAAAAGGCATCAAAATTGATGAGTTTAAAAATTTTTGAGCAGTGGAAAAAGTGTCTTGGTAGGTGTATTGCATCAAATGGAGAGTACTTTGAAGGTGACTGAAGTTTAAACATGTAAGAATAAATGCACAATTAAAAAAAAATAAATTCCAGGCTTTTTGGATCTCCCCTTGGATATTAGTTTCTATGGGCTCTAGTACTCTTTCAATACACTATTCATGCTCTTAGCACTACTCAGTGTATTCTGCCATCTATGCCACATCTAAAACAAACATTAATGATAAATGACATTGATTGGCTTTCAAAAGATATTTAGGCCTTACTCAATGCCACCTCCTCTATGGAGCCTTCCTTGATACTTTCTCCCCCTCTACCTCACCACATTACATCTGCTAAAAGTTCTCATTTCTCCCTCTACTTTCTTTAGCGTGACTTAATATTAAATACAGTGAGTGAATAAGTGAATAAATGAATCTATGTGAATGACTGAATGAGATGCACCTAGACTGTTGTCCCTGTTAGAGAGGTTTTGAGTTATCTTTAAAACTGTATGAGTTTCCCAGGTTTACCGTTTTTTTCTGTACTCATTCTTTTTTTTTTTTTTTTGAGAAAGCAGGATTTATTGCGAGGACAGAGAAGCTCCCACAGTGGGAGGGGACCCGAAGGGGAACTGTACTCATTCTTTAGTGCTTTTATTCAGTTGTTATTCATTGTGGCTAGACATAAGCCTGAATGTAGACCATAAACTGCTGACACAGAGATGAATTGGGCTGGTTCCTCTCTAATGGAATTGCTGGTTTAGTGGGAGAGATGGACAAATGAATGGGAAAAAGACAGTTATTGTGGTAAATGTAAGTCTACTTTTACCACTTCTATTCAACATAGCACTGGAAGTGCTAGCAAGAGCAATCAGGCAAGATAAAGAAATAAATGGTACTCAAGTTGGAAAAGAGGAAATCAAACTATCTCTGTTTGCCAACGAGATGATATTATACCTGGAAAACCCTAAAGACTCCTCCAAAAGACTCCTGGAGTTGACAAATGATTTCAGTGATGTCTCAGGTTATAAAATCAACATACACAAATCAGTAGCACTGCTATGTGCCAGTAGCGACTAAGCTGAGAATCTCAAGAATTTTAGCTGACCCCAAGCTAAAATATCTGGAATATACTTAACCAAGTAGGTAAAAGATCTCTATAAAGAGAACAACAAAACACTGATGAAAAATATCATAGAGGATGCAGACAAATAGAAAAACATCCCATACTGATGGATTGAAAGAATCAACATTGTTAAAATGACCATACCATCCAAAGTAATCTATAGATTCAGTGTAGTCTCTATGAAACTATCAACATCATTTTTCACAGAATGAGAAAAAAGCAATCCTAACATTTATATGGAACCAAAAAAGAGTCCAAACAGCCAAAGCAATCCTCAGCCAAAAGAAAAAAGCTAGACTCATCACATTACCCAACTTTATATTTTATGACAAGGCTCTAGTAGCTAAAACAGCGTGGTGCTGGCACAAAAACAAACACATGGACCACTAGAACAGAATAGAGAATTCAGAAATAAACCCAAATATCTACAACCAACTGACCTGTGACAACACAGACAAAAGCATATACCAGGGAAGGAACATTCTATTCAATAAATGGTGCTGGAAAATTGGCTAGCCACATGCAGAGGAATGAAACTGGATCCCTATCTTTCCCCATATGCAAAAATTAAGATGAATTAAAACCTTAAAATATCAGACCTGAAATCATAAAAATCCTAGAAGAAAAACCTAGAAAAAGCTCTTCTGGACATTGGCATAGGCAAAAATTTATGGCTAAGACCACAAAATAAATGCAACAAAACAAAAATAAATAAGTGGAACTTTTTAAAAATAAAAGCTTCTGCATAGAAAAAGAAATCAATAGAGTAAATAGGAAGCATGAAAGAAAATATTTGCAAAGTATGCATCCAACAAAGGACTAATATCCAGAATCTACAAAGAACTCAAACAAATCAGCAAGAAAAAAACAACTCCATTAAAAAGTGGGCAAATGGCATGAACAAACATCTCTCAAAAGAAGACATATAAATGGTCAACAAACATCTGAGAAAATGCTCAACTTCACTAATCACCAGGTAAATGCAAATTAAAACCACAATGAGACAATGAGATACCATCTTACACCAGTCAAAACGGCCATTATTTAAAAAAATAAAATAAAAAAGTAGATGTTGGTGCAGATACAGTGGAAGGGGACACTTATATGTTGTTGGTGGGAATGTAAATTAGTACAACCTCTATGGAAATTAGTATAGAGGTTTCTCAAAGAACTAAAAGTAGATCTACCATTTAATCCAGCAATCCTACTACTTGATATATACCCAAAGGAAGAGAAATCATTGCACAAAGAAGACACCTATACTTGAATGTTTATTTCAGCACAGTTCACAATTACAAAGATATGGTATCAATCTAAATGCCTAAATGCCTGTCAACTGATCAGTGGATAAAGAAAATGTGATACACTCACACATACACATACATGCACACACACACGATGGAATATTTTAGCCATAAAAAGAATGAAATATTATATTTTGCAGCAATTTGGATGGAATTGGAGATCATTATCCTAAGTGAAGTAATGCAGGAACAGAAAACCAAATACCACATGCTCTTACCTATAAGTGGGAGCTAGGCTGTGGGTAACAAAGGCATGTAGAATGGCATAAAGGACTCTGAAGGTGGGATGGGAGGAGGGTGAGGGATGAAAAATCACCTGTCAGGTACAATGTGCACTAGTAGGGGTGATGGGTACCCTTAAAGCTCCAGCTTCTTCACCACTATGCAACATATCCATGTAGCCAAAAACCACTTGTACCCCTAAAGCTCTTGAAATAGAAATGTAAAACAAATATATAAGATACAGGTACGTCCACACTGGAGCTTAGACAAGAGGCTTTAGACTCAGGCTGCCTTCCACTGGGGCTTCCTTAAAAGGGACAATCTGAGCTGAGTTGTGAAGGCTAACTAGCAGTTAGAGGCATGATGGGGATGAAAACAGAGAATGAAAGAATAAACCAAAGGGTTCAATGCACAGGGAAAGAAACATCAAGGCAAACTTCAAATAATTCAACATTGCAGATTAGAGAAAGCAAGGGTGGGAATAGCCAGAAAGGAAACTGGAGATGGACACATTTGCATAACCAAGGGTCTTTTAAGCCCTGCTAAGTATTAGACTTTGTCCTGAAGTTTGTGAGTAGCAATTTGTAGGGTTTTAACTAGAGATTGATATAACGAATTTTATTTCATAAAGTTTGCCCTGAGCACACTATGGAGAATAAATTAGAAGGCAAGAGGGCTATAGGGAAGATATATAATGAAACAACTAATTGTACAGCATGATAAGGCCTGTAGTAGAAGATATACTCCATGCTCTGAAAGATCACAAGAGGAGTACCTAACCTAGAACTGGAGTCTCAGCCTAGGCTAAAGTCAGAGTTTGAATTATCAGGGTCAGGAAACTGGGATGAGTTTCTCCAACAGATAGGACAGGGCAAAGTGTGCAAGGACATGAATTTTTTTCAGGAAACTGCAAATAATTTGTTATTGCTAGAATGTACGATATTAAGCATGAATTGATGAGAAATAAAGCTGGAAAGGAAAACACCTTCCAGCATTCAACTCTTCTTCCTATTAAATATTGCTTTAGACTGGGATGACCATGTCATTTATAATTTCTGACAAGCACTTTAAAATACTTTTGTATTATAGAGAATTTTGAACATGTAAAGTGGTATAATGAACACCCATGAACTCATCACTCAGTCCCAACAACCAACAACAGCACCTGGCAATTAGCCACATGCTATTTACTTCTCCTTTTCATGTTATTTTGAAGCACATTCAAAATATATGTTCTCAAACTTAAAAATTTTAGGATCTATCTCTAAATAATGAAGAGCCTTTTATTTTGAAAAACATAACCACAACTACCAAAATCATATCTAAAAGTGTATAGTAATCCAATTGTATCAAATAACCAATCAGTTTTGTAATTTTTAACTATCCCACAAACGTCATCTAAATATAGATGTATGCATATATTTATATACATTTTGTTTCATCAGGATAAGGGCTGAGACTTTTGAAAGTGAAAGGCAGTACTATTTTAATTAAGAGGTGTGCATGGAGACTTTTGCCTTAACAGGGATGTTTACTAATCTATGTTGATTTATTCCTCTTCTCCAAGACTACTACAGATGTCTGGGCAGATATGTGGCAAAAAATAAAGGAAGCCTAACTCAAATTACTGATTCTGCTCTTCTTTTCTTAGTTCTCTCTGCTCACTGGTGTGCAAATGGACCTACTCGGCAGAGAAAGGCTGGGATGGCAGTTTCTGGAAGATGATTGGTTTGGAAGACTTGGTTGCAGATAACTACAGAAAAATAGGTAAGAGAAAAAAAACAAAGTAGTGTGTTTATGTGTATGTATATATGAGGATATCAGTGGGTTTTGTTGTTGTTTGTATTTTTGTTTCTTCTTTTTGCATACATTAAAACACAGGAATACAGCTGAATCAGGTACAATGGGTAGGCCATGACTAGTAGACTTTTGCCTTAGGGTTTATATGAATTGAGTGGAGATACATGCTATGAAATTCAGCATTGAAATATAAATCAGAAATTGGACTAGAAATTGAAGAAGATACTTGCATGGAGCGGCTTGAGAACCACACGATCAAGGGGCTGTATATGGTCCCTGTCCAGTCAGTTGTTGGAAAATAGTTTTGTGAATTAGGTTCACAGGACAAGGCAAGGCTATGGACAGGAAAATTCGAATAATCCAGAACAAGACAGGAACTGAAAAATGGGCCGGTGGTTCCTGACTAAGGCCTTAGTGTCCGAGTCTTCCAGTTTTATGTGGCACTGATTGGATGGTAAAGCGTGCCTTCTACATCCCAAGCATGTTCCTGTGTGCTTTCACCTACCTTGTTTCATGTTGTTTTTACAACTACTAACCAAAGCTCTGGTACCCTGTTTACAGATGAAAATCACAGAGATGAGTAATCTTGTATAACTGTTCAAAAGCAGTGCATGGTAAGTCAGGATTGAAAGCCTCCCAGTGGGAGATCCTAGAAGGAGCTAATATTTTACTGGAACACAAATTTCAACTTCAATTACTTGTTCAAGCAATTTTTTAAAAATTTTATTTTAAAAGTGTGGGGTACAATTCAGGGAGTAATTTTAAAAATTTATATGCAGAAAAAAAAGTTAGTTGTCCTTTGCTGTGTATTCCCAGGGTAGATTGAAAATAGCTTTATTAGAGTACATATTGATGGCTGTTTATGTGTCTTGATTCTTCACTTGACTGTGGTCTCTTTGACATAAGAATTCTCACTTATTTACCTTTGTATGCCAAGTACTAGCACAGGGCATGGCATATTTTCAAAGCTAAATAACTATTTGACTGGTAAGTGGGTAAACTAATGATTGAGATGGTTGACACAGGGATGTTGGCACTTTTTGCTTTTAAAAGCTGTAATGATATTTACCAATTTCAGCAACATCTTTGGCAACTTAGGTCCAACTTCAACTCTGATTTTCTGATTATTTTGACATTTTTCTGTTCTTCTTTCCTGCCTCACACAAGACACATGTTTAATTAGCATATGAGCTCTGCTAATAGGGCAATGCCTACAAGAAATATTCATTAGCAGTTCATAATGTTAATCTAGCAGCAAATTTCCAGAGTAACTTTATTAGATTTTGCCTCTTAAATTAATGTGTTTTTAATGGATGAACTAAGGAGACATGTCGTTAAGTAGAATATTGCTGTACATGAATTAAGGTTTACCCATTCATCAAAAGTAATTGTGTGATGTTTCCTTTGATTTTCATTTCTGGTGACTTGGGCTTGTAGTTTTAGTCTGAACCAAAGTAGAAGATATTTAAGAGAGTGTTTATTCTCAGTTGTGACTTTCAGGAACTCCTCTGAAAGCTGCCTTCAGATATTCTTTTGCAGTTCTTGGAACTTTGAGAAATGAATCTCGGAAGCCTCCCTATGAAGTGTTAAACATTTCCAGTGGCTTCATTGCCCGTCAAGATATGGGCAATATAGTGCAAAACCTTTTAGCAGATTTGAGCATTGAGCGTCCTGAATTTGAACATTAATACAATTACCATAATTCGCTCCATGTGGAGCTTTTAGCCAAGTCTTTACCAGCCTTCCTGGGCTCATGCAGTAAATAAATGCTTTCCCCGAAAACTGAACACCTCAGCAAGCGATGGTCTTATGGAGGAATGTTTTTGAATTAAATTATTTATGAAGTGTAAGTTAAGGATCAAATGCAATATTTATATGGTGCATTTCAAGGACAGGAGAAGAAATTTACAATGTTTTAAGTAACCACATGAAGGTTTCCAAAGCTAAAATGTTACTACCTAATTAATTCCTTTTTTCAAAGAGATATTGCATGATTTGGTTTGAGAACAATTCACAAAGTAAGGAAAAAATTAGCTTAATGAATCAAAGGAATATAGAAATTCTTTACAATTGAAACTTCACTAGGTGATTTAATGCTCAGAATTTATGGAGAAAACCCAAATCCAGTTTTTTGGTAGGGGATTATCTACCCCTACCAATAAAACAATCTGTGTCCAATAAAATGATCTATGTCAATAAATTTTGACCTTCAATTTCATGTGAATCATTCCCAGGTTACCTATCTAATCCTAAAAATCTATCAAAAGGAAACAGGAAGGAAGAGATCAGCAGGAGAAAGGACCCTCACAAAGATAAGCAGCATCCCACCTGTTCTAATCGATTATCCAGGCGCTCTTTCAGCAAACCCCAGGTGCCATTTTAATTCCTGGGAAAAACGCTTTGTTGTATTATTGGAGTAGGCCACTTAATGAAAATTGGTGTGTACAGCATAACTGAATTATAGGGCATTTGTTTGCATTTCTGACTGAGCTTTGTTATATAAAAGGATTCTTCATGTTAGTGTATAGATCATTCCTTATTTAGAATCAGGGAAGCTAGGCAAAGAACAAACATAAAACCGAAGTGGAGCAGAGGCAGAAATAAAGATAAGGCCTATGTGGAGGAAGACAGCTTCTTGAGGGAAGGGAAGGGAGGCTACCTTTTTTTTTTTTTTTTAAAGAAAGCAGGATTTATTGAGAGGACAGAAAAGCTCCCATAGCAGGAGGGGGCCCGAAGGGATTGCCCTGGGAGGCTGCTTTTTAAAACTCATTTTTCCTCCCCCTATCTTTTAGGCATGGGACACCGTGGGCACAATAATCTGGCACACTGTAGATACTGAAATATTTGTTGAATGAGTGAGGATTTGATAAATAAGTCCCCTCTTAGCTTCAGTTGTCCCTCACATTCACCATGTATCTTGTGAATTAAATGGTACTACTAGGTGACAGAGAGATAATTGATTCCATAAATTCGGTGTTCACAGTCATCTTTTGCAAACACTTTCCATTAATACTTAAGAAGAGATCCTTGTGTAAAATACATCCCAAGCTGAATGATAGCTGCATTCCAACTTCAGACCTGCAGTAAATCTCTCGGGATCTTTTCTGTGACAGAAAATATCACAGACTCTTATATATACACACACACACACGCACATGCACATGCACGCACAGCCACATACACACTGTCTCTCTCTGTCTCACATACATACATACATGCGCGCACACACACGCAACCAAAAATCTAAGAATATAGTTTAGATGCCGGGCTCAGTCTGTAATCCCGCGCCTTTGGGAGGCTGAGGTGAGTGGATTGCCTGAGTCCGCGGGTTCGAGACCCACCTGGGCAGCAAGACCTCATCTCTACAATAAATCAAAAAATCAGCTGGGTGTGGTAGCGCATGCCTATAATTCCGGCTCCTTGGAAGGCTGAGGCAGAAGGATCGCCGGAGCCCAGCAGGTCGAGGCTGCGGTGGGCGGGAGCGGCCATTGCACTCCAGTTTGAGTGACAGAGTGAGACTCCAACTCAAAAAAAAAAAAAGAATATGGTTTAGGAAAGAAAGTTGGGAATTTTTCTCTTCCATAGAGTAAAATAAACCCAAAAGTAACTGAAGCTACATTTTAGATATTTTTGTTCTATAGGCTTAAAAGTGAAAGTAAAGAATCTTGAGTAATGCCAGGTACTTGTTGGGGACATAAATGTGCCAATATTCACCCCTGTTTCCCTCTTAGTACACATTTTCCTTTGAGTACTTTTTTCACACAGAGAAACCAACAAAAAGTAATTTGGGGCAAGATTGGATGAACAGGGAGGTGGGGCATGGGGGTCATGGCATTTTGGGTCAAAAACTGCTGAACACTCAGCACAGGGTAGGCAGTTACACTCATAAACCTCCTATCATGAAATGGGCAAACACATTGAAAGAATCTTAAAAAAAAATTCACTGAAGCCATACGTAGTCCCTCACAGCAACACTAGCTGATACACTGATGCTAATGGGTCTCTGGAACACTTACTTACCTAGTGGAAGAAACCTGTACTACAAGGGGCCTGCCTTCCAAAACCAGTTGAGAGCAATTAATAGAGCCACCTACGTCAAAGTATATAGTCGGCTGAATTAAAGAGCATAGGAGCTCTGCCTCTTTTTGGCATCTGGCTGGACTTTCGGGCCTGCATGGTACTCACTTACCCACTCATTGGCAGGCCAAGCCGTTGAGACAAAGAACAGAGAAATCTGGCCATACTTGCCTGAAGCAAGCTCCACTTGCTCTGCTAAATTCATGAAGTCTCAGAGAGCCCACTGACCTGAGTGAGTACAGGTGGTTCAAGAAGAGAGTAGTAGGCCTTTTCTGCTGCTGTAATAGCATACTGAGGCTGGGTAATTTATACTGAATAGAGATCAGTTTGGCTCATGGTTTTCTCCAGAAACATGAGGAATCCAAGGGTATGGTGCTCACATCTGCTTGGCATCTGGCAAAGGGCCTTCGTATTTCATCATTCCTATGTCAAAAGATGGAAGGACAAGAGAGTGCATGGAGAGTGAGAGAGGCCAAGAGGGGACTGAACTCCCTTTCATCAGGAACCTGCTCCTGAGGTAAAAACTTAATCCATTCATGAGAGGAGATCCCTCATGGCCTAATCTCCTCTTAAAAGTCTCACCTTTTAATACTATTACAATGGCGATTAAATTTCAACGTGCGTTTTGTAGGGGACAGTCAGACCATTGCAGCGACACATGCCAAGACTTCATGGACTCTACTTCAGGGCTGTGACCCCACTTCCTGTCTATCATGACCTCATTGATGTTGTGTTCTTTCAAGTCTCATGGATTAGCTAAGTGATTCCCCCTCCTATGTGAGCAGGAATCCCCCCAAACCCATAATTTATTTATAAAAAAATTGTTCTTTATAAATTTATCTTAAAAATTCTTACATGTTTAAACTTTAGTCACCTTCTAAGTACTCTCC